TTTTTTTTTTTTTTTCTCTCTCCTCTCTCCTCAGAAGGTGTACCGTTACAGAAATGAACATGAAGGTGAGTTTGTTATGAGCAAGGCCAAGGCCATGTTTTAGCTAGATTTTAGATATCATCTTCACTCCTTCAATGCCTTCATACTAATCTAAATGATGGTGGTGCTAGATCTCGTAATTACAAAGAATTTGGTGGGTGGCATGAGAATTTATGTTCAAAAGAAACTCCATTTCCAGTACAAATTTAAAACTTATCCATCTAAATGATAACGTAGTTAGTCTGTCCATTTAATATTGTCCATTTTGACCTATTCATATTCTTTATTTAGAAAAAGAATGAAGTTGAAAGTTTACCAACCCAACTAAAGATTTTGAAGCTTCTATAGAGCTACTTCCATACGAATCATTTATATTTTGGATATCACGACTATCACAAACATACACAATAAAACATTTGTCTAACATGAATAAGGACTGATAATATAAAACTATGAAATTAACGGTGATACGTAATGAATCAAAGAAGACAATATCTACTAGAGGTGGACATGAGCTATTACAGTACCATATCGATGTGTAGTTCTTTATTTTTTCCGGGTGATATAGAAATACCTGCATAGGAGGTAAGCTAAATCTATCCATTAAGAATATGGACACTTCTATATTTCCAACTACAAACTAAGATTTGAATCAAATAAATAGTGGTTGTCCTTAAATTTTACCTTATTTTAATTTCATAATCGATTTTTTCCCTTTAAACTTTAGTCCTTTTAAGTTAAAATGAATTCCAATTTTGGTACATATCTTAGAGCAATGTAAATTAGAAGGTGATAGAAAAATATTAACATTTTCAATTTTTTCTTATTTAACATCATCACCCATAGAATTTGACAAGAAATAGGGTGAAATGTCTCCTGTAGTAAAAATTTGATGAAAATAGAAAACATTTAAGAAAAACTTCAAATAAAATATTTAGCATTTAACTTTTGAACAATTTTTGGTCAACCTTCCCATTGTTTGTATTTTAAAATGGACACATTTAGCCTTTAAATTTTAGAAAAATGTTCTAAATGGTATGTTTGCTGGTTGGTTGACCATTGAAAAATGAAATGATATCCACATTTTGTCAACTTATTGTCACATTGCTATTGCCTCCTAAATGTAAACGTCATTGTAGAGGCTAGTTCCCAAGCTACCTCGATTCAAGCCCCTTCTCCTTGAGACCCCAAAAGCTTAATAACTATAGATGACACATTTGGAAACAAATCAAAGTAGCATAGAATGGTCATCACAAACCTTGAACTCGAATTTGTTGTGGGTGGTCATGTCTACTTAAAAATCACACCATGAGAAAGGGGTTGAAATTTAAAAAGAAGAGTAAGTTGAGCCAAAGTTTTGTTGGGGCTTTTGAGATCCTACGTAGGATAAAGCAAGTGGTGTACAAATTGATGCTGCCACCCTCCCTTATCGGCGTGCATAATGCATTTCATATGTTTATGTTGCATAAGCACACCCCAAACTCTTCACATGCTATCAAGCATGAAGCATTCCCTTTGAGAGAGGATCTCCCTTATGAGGAGAAATTTGTTAGTTTTTTCACTAGAGATATGAAGCAATTATGTAATAAGCAGATTGTCCGGATTAAGGTCTTAATTATTAGATTGATGAGGTGACTTCAAAAAAAAAAAAAGAAAAAAAAAGAGAACATAACACTGTCCTATCTTAAACTTTGTCACGATTAAGTAACTTTTGGAGACAAAAATGATTAAAGAGGGGAGAATTTGTAAAGTCAGGTTAAAAGGTTCGAAAACCTCCTCTAACCTTTCCTTTTACTTTATAAGAATCTTAGGAATAGAATTTCATGAAGGATAGAAAAGAGAAGCTCTTAAAGTTAACGCAAGGACTTAGAAAAATATAAAACTAAAATAGTATAGAGAGGAAAGAAAAAAGAAAAAAAAAAGTTAGCAGAGTTAGCTTAGAAATTGGTTCTTAACCTAAATCATTCACCGAACCTCAACTTTAAAATCAGACCTCGATGATTAGGATCAAACAAACATCGACTTAGAAAATTTAATGACTTTGACTTAGACCAACAAGGTAAGTGAGCTTTCTATTAGAATGCCTTCTAGTTAAGTTGGACAATTAAATGATGTATGATTAAAACACACTCTGTGGTTTATTTACGTATTACTTATTATATTATGATATGTTTATGAACTTTTCTAATGTATGTATTTTTATTGTATTGATACATGTATGCTATGAAACTATGTTCACATTATGCCATATAAGATACTAGACGAGTCAGATGTGATAAGTATGAGTGATATGCTTGTGCACATAAATGTATGTCTCAAAGTTGTTATATTATGAAACGTATGGAAGTATGATGTTTATCATAACCATGTACTATGATTTAAAATAGAAGACCTTGTGCATGTTATATGTCACAAGCATGAGTTACTTCTTTAGTATGTTTTGTATAGATGCGTACAACATTATATGATGTGCACTCCTTTCTTTCTATTAGTTTCTGACAATGTGAGCGTCTGTTAGCTCATACATAGTCAAACTTAGGAGCAAGTATACAAGTCTGCTAGTGGGTTTATGCACGCATGCATAAACTGTGTGCAGACAAGTACTGCGCATCCAACCCTACCGGAAAAAGAAAATACAATCCAAAGAATAGTTAGTAAAAGTAGATCCTATTATGAGCCATGTTGCATCTGATTACATTTTTTCGATACGAGGTTACTTACTAGATATTTTTAAATATTAAAACCACATTGAATGTTTTTTCAGTAAAGGCCCCTATACACAAATCACCAAGTCAATTGAGAAAGTCATGAAACTCATACCAAATAGCTAGATTTTTTTTTTGGCATATTTAAGTTGTTTACTTAAGGTAGGGTATGAGTATTTTATTTTGAAGCTTTGACAATATGTGTTCTTTTTCTTTTTTTTTTTTTTTTCTTTTTCAACATGTTAGTATCATTTTGGAGTGATTATGTTTGAAATGAATTTTAAGTGATTAAAGTGAATTATTTTTCAATGAATTTTCGTACCGAGTATGATAAGAACTAAGAGATATTAATCATACAATATACTTTTATGAAGATGGGAAGAAAATGTTATCAAACTTATCCAAAGATGTTTCAATTCATGCCACATTAAATTAAAGAAGAACGAAGTTTCATTGTTATAAATTTTGGGTGGAGTTTATGATGTTCGATTAATGTATTTTACGACTTTTTATTTATTACATTTACATAATGATTAACTATGACCACAAAGTAGGAATGTTACCACTTTTGAAATGTCTTTTTAGAGTTTTCATTTTGAAGTTATATAAAGTCATATATGTTGTCTTTGTAATATATACTTGGAAAATGTAGTAAAAGAAGCATTTGTACTCTTCTTTAGCCAATGGCTAAGTTTCTTTGCAATGGTATGTAGTTTCGGTTGCAGGTAAAATCATTCAAGCCTGACATAATCAATTTTGTTTGTGGAGTTATTCAAATCTCAAACAAGTGTTCTTATCTTGAGATATTTTATCAACAAGAATCATTCAAGCTGGACATGATCGATCTTACTTGTGGAGTGATTCGAATTTCAAATAAGTGTTCTTGCCTTGAGATATTTGATCAACAAGGTAATCCGAATCTTACTCCTCTTGTAGTGATTTCCTTATCATTTGGCATCAGATCTTTCGGGCTGATTCCGTATCATTTGGTATTAGAGCTTTCTCTTAGACTGATTTCCATATCAGAGTATATATGACATACATAACGGTCTTATTTAAAAGAAAAAATAGGATTGTTACATAGAACAATCAACAAAGACGAGTGCACATGCAGCGACGACGGATGCCATCACATTCACCGCCGGAGAAGCCTTCAGTCTGGCAGACAACAATGCAATTGTGGTTGATCAAGCAAAGGCCATGGAACTTCTGGCTCGGAGACTGGCATACTCGTCCCTCAACAGTACGACCAATCATCTCTTCTGCAATTAATGCATATTAGCAACAAAGGAAGAAGAAGAAATGGCAAAGATGGTAGGGTTAGACTTTAATTACCCGAAGAGAAGAT